GACCATTCTAATATGCAGCAAAGTTTAGGAACCACTGCACTAGAGCATATCTATTAACTCCTCCAGCTTCACCTGCAGATGGCCTCGAATCTATTCGTTCAGGGCAAATGTAATTCTGGGCCACCTAGACGGGTAAGCACTTAAAAGCACTGATTTGGGCTATGTTATTTCCTATGTGTCATGTGTAGAAGGCAGTGAACTACCAAATGGGATACTAATGTGGGGCCAGGGATATGGCTGAGTAGAGATGTTTTTCCCATATCAGAAAAAGAGAGGAGGTTCTATCTCTCTGTTCAGTATTACTCCCCCAGAAACTGATTTTACTCAACCAAATCCTATTTCAAGCTTTTCAAACTCTGGGCTGTAACTCATTATTGGGTTCTTAAATCATTTCAATGGCTTGCTAGCAGCATTTTTAATGGAATGGAATAGAATAGAACAGAGACGAACACTAAATATTAAAGAGCACATTATGTGAAAGAACCAATAATTGTTTGGGGAACCATACATATCTTACCGTGGTTCATGGTAGAAAAAATAAAAATAAAAATAAAAAAATTCTGACATTCTGGCCAGGACAGTGGTTTCACAATGTGATTCCATCTCTCTCCCTCAATCTCATTTTACCTCCCTTTGATTTTCCCAGTTGACAAGGATTTCTAAACCCTTACCATTGAGTTTAAAGGAGAGCTATAGTTGAATCCGATGGCTTCATTCCATTCATTTAGAAAGTACAGTACAGAGATGAAAATGAGCCAGGCACGTTGCAATCTTCCTGAAAAAGCCATCTCTCTGGGAAGGGCTCAGATGCTGAACGCACAACTTTCTCTTACAGAAAGAACTGGCAACAAACCCATTCTGCCTCCAAGTTTTGAGATGCAGTGCTTTTAGCTCTTCTGCTAATAGCGGCTCATTTGCACACTCTGCTTTAACAGCTAAAGACACCTGCCTTGGCTTCAGCTGAGGCAAAATAGACCAACCATACAGCAGGCAAAATCCGTAAAGACTGGCATATTAGTAGTGGACACAATTAGGCCTTTGGCTTGAGGGCTGTAACATTTTGCCTTAAAGTAGCAGGTCTCACTTACTCCATCAAACCACAGTTCAAGTCGCAAGTAAACACTGTGTGCGTGTGTGCGTGCATGCGTGTGTGTGTGTGTGTGTGTGTGTGTTACCCTGGTTTGAAATATTAAGGAGGTTTCCTGGGATAAGCAGTATGGAAATTGCCGAACAGAGCTGGACTGGCCAGAAAGCCAGAAGGAAAAGAGAGCAAGGAAGTTCTGGGCAGATACAACAGCAAGATGAAATAGTAACGCCAGGGGTGTGGACAGGGCCCGAGGGAGCATGGCATGAAGACTGACATATCAAGGTCATGGGGTTGTGTGAGGACCAGCCAGTTAACAGTGCTACCAAACTGTGGCGAATCAGTGCCTGTGGTTCACATAGTCCTAGAGATGAGGATTATGACCACATTCTGAAAAAGATCACTGGCCTGTGGTGATAATGACCTGACGTGCTGATGAGGATAACCTTGCATTTCATAATAAATGTTCTTTCAATTGATTTAACCAACAATCTATAGATTTCCTTTTAATTGCCCGATACCTTGATTTTCAAAGAGAGGGTTTACTTTAGATGAGATGTGTGACCGTGCAGGGAATAACAAAAATCACCCTGCCTGTGCACTCTTGCAGGACGCGTCAGTGTCTCGCCATTCATCTTTGGTATTCATCATCGTCATTAGTGTCTTGTCATTCATCTTTCACGGAGCCTAGCAAAGCACTCAGTACGTTTGGGCTAAAAATTAAAAACCACCAGCTTTCCTTGCTCTACATGTCCCCTCCCAATTGGTGGATGTGCTGTATGGGGGAGGACCTAACTCTGGCTTTAGTGCACGAGCAGAATAAACCCTCACTCGGCATATTGCATTCTGCTAGCCAAAAAAAGAACTCACCAGCACAATTTGATCCATACTCCTGAATAAAAAATAACCAGAGGTAAAGTTATTCTTGGGTCAAATGACAGCGATTGCAGCCAGGATATAAATGGGGTAATTTTTGAAAATTGCAGTAGAAATCCCAAGAATAAAACTGCTAGACAATTGACATGAAATCTCCAAGAACAGGCTTCTAGGTAAAGGGTGACCCGTTGCCTCAAATCTTTAAGCACAGAGCCAGGACAGGTCAAGTTTATTAACTTCTCGTAATACGGTTTACTCATGCTCTGCAAGTCTTTAAAAAGAAAAAAAAAAAGCAGATTATCTGGATCATGCAAAAACTTGAGACGCACTGAGAAATGAGAAGAGAGTGATCAGGCTCATTGTTATTTTTGACATCCGGAGAAAGTCCAATTCCTCAGGGATGGGCAGAACCACCACCCCCCCTTCTAAGCTAACATAAATAACCTGAGTATTATCTAAAACGAGTCTCATGTTGGTAAATATTGGCTTTGTAGTTGATACTCTGTTTACTTCAAATACTGAACAAATAGGATCTTCATTCGGTTGGGCAGTGATTTTCAAATATTGCTGTGTGCTAGAATTTCCGGCAGAGCTTGGTACATGTGTGACTGCCTGTATCCAATTCCATTAAGTCAATCAGGAAGATTTTACATGGATGCTGATGCCCGGATTCACTGTAGACCAATAGAATCAGAATCTCCAGGGATAAGGCCAAGACATTGGTATTTGCTAAAAGTACCCACATGAGACTCTAGGGTGAAGACCTGGGTTGAGAACTTCAGCACTACTGAGTCCGATTTAGTAGGAAAGGGTGGAGCCTCACCCTCTCCACGTGTAATAGATGTCACAAGTGACTCAGGTACCCATGATCTGTGGACCTTATTCTCAAAAACACTGAGCTAGACCTAGGTATTTCCAAAGCTCCATGAACCAGAGCACATCTCACTTCTCCTTTGACTTCTTTTCTGTTATAGTAACACCTCTGAAATAAAACTACATGGTAAAGAGGGCGGATTAGTTGAAGCGGGATAATCAGATTCATAGATTGATTACAGGTCATTAAAGATATTAACTGCGCTACACTGGGGCAAAAGTGATTTTCATCTGAATGTGTTAGAATTTCATAAGCAAATGATTACATTCCTCCTGAGACAAAAGTAACTCAAAATCAATATCTAGCAAAACTCAGTTTTTGAAAACAGCATTAGTTCAGAAAACATTATTTGTACTAAATCATAATTAACATTGAAAAGTCCACTTAAAAAGTCAAAGGAGTGGGGCGCCTGGGTGGCGCAGTCGGTTAAGCGTCCGACTTCGGCCAGGTCACGATCTCGCAGTCCGTGAGTTCGAGCCCCGCGTCGGGCTCTGGGCTGATGGCTCGGAGCCTGGAGCCTGTTTCCGATTCTGTGTCTCCCTCTCTCTCTGCCCCTCCCCCGTTCATGCTCTGTCTCTCTCTGTCCCAAAAATAAATAAACGTTGAAAAAAAAAATTTTTAAAAATAAAAATAAAAAAAAAAAAGTCAAAGGAGTAAGTACAAGGATAGTCATGGCATCATTGTTTTTGATAACAAAAAACTTTAAACAATGTAAAGGTCTACTCAAAAGAGGACTAGTTAAAATATCGTATAGAATTAACTAGAATGCAGCCATCAAAAACAATGATGCCACTCTCTATACATTAACAACAACAACAAAAAAGATCTCCAAGATATAAACAAAAAATAGAAGCAAATGGCAGATATGCATGTAGTAGAAAGCCATTCGTGTTCTTAAAAATTAAGCCTGTGTAACTGGAAAGATACACAATAAATTCATTGTAGTGATTCCTTCAGAGAGGGAAACTGTGTGGCTGGGAAAATGAGACTTACTTTTCCTATTAATATTCTTTTGGCCCTTTTGGATTTCTGTACCATTTGAGTGATTCAATCAAATTTTTTTAAAAAAATAAAAAGTCAAGTGCAAACTGTAAGCTTTTAAAGTATATATTTGTATGAATGAACCCTGGCACATAGTAGATATTCAGTAAATGTTTATTTCTTAAATAAACCTACTTAATTTCTCCTCTCAACTTTTTCAAATCTCTTCTTTCCTTGGTGTGCAGGTTGAAGGTGGGGTGGATAGCTAAAATTTCATAATATATTATGCCTTTGCACGTATCGAGTGCTAAGTATGTGCTAAGCATTATGCTAAGCTCTCGACACGTTTCCATCAACTCAGGTAATTCTACAACATCCCTGGGAAGTAGATATTATCATCTTCCTTTGGCACTTGGGAAAACTGAGGCTCAGAAAGGTCACTGGGACTCAGGCAAACTGTGTTATACACACACATAAATAAAGATTATAAAAATTATACTTTTAAGGTATATGCAAACCGCTGTGGGGACTATGAAGACAGTATGCTCTTGGCCCTTCCAATGGGTCGTGGCAGGCAAAACCTTTATGTATGGCATTACTAAAATATAAGGCAACAGAGAGCACTGTGTGGGGAGCTTTGAAGGGGAGAAATTCCCGGGGAAGTAGAAGATAGAAATCAAGGAAGGCTTCACAGAAGGGGTCCTGGTTGATCAGGACTGTGCAAGGAGTGAGCAGTCAGGAGGAAAAGTATGTGATTCACGGGTTCCATGCTATACTAAGTGAGTTGTATGTGGTAACACCTTTTACTTTTTTAATCCTAACATTTCTAAGTATCCTTGTTCCCAATTTTAGATGAATAAACCAAAACCTAGAGAAGAAACTTTCCCCAGATGTTCTAGTCCACATTTAATGTCACCTTACTTTCTACTGGCCATCTCTATGAGGGATTGCCAACATGTCTTGCCTTATGTATGACTGATATAAAACTTGTGTGTGTGCACTCGCACAAACGCATTCCTTATCTCTAATACAAGCATAAACTACTTGAGGCAAGAGCCATCATTTTATATATTTTTAATATTCCCCTCATTGTATGCTCACATACTAAGCATGAAAGTATTTATGGTAATGTATTAGTACTAAGCTAATTCTGTAAAATTGAGCTATCTTTATTTTGTGCTAAAGGTTTTATGACGGCAGATGAAAGAAAATTATTTGACCACCTCAAATCTCCTCATCTGAAATATTGGGTTCCATTCATCTGGTTTGGAAATCTTGCAGCTAAAGCCCGGAAGGAAGGTAGAATCAGAGACAGTGTTGATCTGCAATCACTGATGACTGTAAGTGCGACACAAACCACCCATAAGAGATGCTAATCAGAGACCAACAGGGACCTGGATGTAGCAGGTCAGACCAGGATGTGTCTGCTTTGTTCATGCCTGGTTCCAAAGGAACCAGAAAGACTGGGCTAGTATTAGAACCCTTAACATGCAGGACAGGGGTAGTATACAGGTTTTGACTCAGGTTGATTGGGAGTGGTTTCTTAGAAATTCTGTCTAAACAGAATTTGGCTTTGTCATGGGCTCTGTAAGAAAGTGTCCCTTAATTGATTAGCAACAGCTGTCAAGGGCTCTGAATGACCTGGTGTCCACATGGCATATTTATCATCCCCCAGGATCCTAGAGTAAAATCTGGAGTAGAAATAAACCTGCCCAATCAGTTCCCCCAAACTAGAAGTTCCTGAGGTTAAGCCAACTTGTCAGATGCTCCAGGAAACAAAATTATGTTTTCATTAAACGAAATAACCCTGAATTCATCTGAGAAACAGATTTATGGAAGGGCTAGATAGATATGCCCTATGACAGTCTCCTGCCTGTATTAGGCCAAAAGGAGTGAATGATATAAAAATAGCTCCCAAATTAACATAACTCTTTTTCCCAGGCTTATATAGTAATTTATGTGTGATAAAGGAGAAATCAGTAGATTCAAGTCCTTTCCATTCCAGACAGATATTTTCTGCCAATATAAGTGTGCTAAAGTCTTCATTTGTGGGGGAGAAAGGTTTAGGAAGTACTTTTTTTCCCCAAACTCTACAGCAAGCATGTTTCCAAAAGAAGTAGAGAAACAAACAAACAAACAAATCTGCTCTCCACATAAATTTACCAAAATGGATAGAAATTACTTACTTAAAATACTAACCCCTGCCTTCCCATCAACACTTTGGACCAATATACATGTTGCAAATCATGGATTCATAGAGTAGGCGATAGTTCTATAAAGTCCTGATTTATTTTAATATTTTTTTAAAAATATCCATCAGTCTCCATCCTTTTTGCACTGTTGAATGGCGTTGATTGTCATTTTCAGGATTTTCCTTTTGGAATAGCCTTCAGAACCAATTACCAGCCTTACAAAGTCAGCCTTGTCCTTCTACAGACATGTTCATAAAAGACATGGCCATGTTATGAATCCCAGGAAATATTTATTGCCACACGCATCATTTAGCAAACCATGTTTTATCTGTTTCTGGCTTAGGAAATGAACAGATACCGCTCTTGGTGCAGCCTCTTATTTGGTTATGACTGGGTTGGGATTCCGCTGGTTTACACCCAGGTATAAAATACTTTGCACGTGTGTTGTTTGTTCACCCCCCCCACCCCAAGTTAGTTAGTTAGTTATTTTCAAAGAGAGAGAGAGAGTGCAAGTGGGGAAGGGCAGAGAGAGAGAGAGAGAGAGAGGGAGAGAGAGAATCCCAAACAGGCTCTGTACTGTCTGTGCAGAGCCCAATGCGGGGCTTGAACTCACGAACCATGAGATCATGACCTGAGCTGAAACCAAGAATTGGATGCTTAATCGACTGAGCCACCCAGGTGCCCCTGCATGTGGTTTTTAGCTACTTGCCCACTTAGGCACTCTGGCCTGCTGTGGGGGTCCAGTGCTGTGTTCTCACTCAGACTTCTCTCCGTTGCAGGTTGTCACTCTGGCTGTCTACACCTTCTTCTTTGCCTGCCTGATTGGACGCCAGTTTTTGGATCCCACCAAAGGCTACGCGGGGCATGACTTAGATCTTTACATTCCAATCTTCACTCTCCTACAGTTCTTCTTCTATGCAGGATGGCTCAAGGTAGCCCACCGTCTCTGTGCCTGAGACCTGCTCTGTAATCTGTCGTGTTCTGTCCTTTGCACCCTGGTCCTTTACTGAGTCACTCGCTCATGAGCGAGTCAAAGGTAGATTTAAGATTTAATCACTCAGAGATGTTATTACTTGTAAACTAGGGATTCAAGTGATGTGGTGAGTACCATATTGCAGCAATCTAAGCAAAGACGTTGCAGTAATACTCTTTTACGGCCAGTAATTTAAGTCTTTGTGTGCTCCCATTAGGATTATAATAATGTAATTAAAGTAATAACTGTGACTTCACTGATATTTTATGCCACAATAAGCAAGTAGGCAGAGTAAAAGAGAGTAAATAAGAAGCCTTGTGTATCAGAGTTAAGTATTCGTATTATATTATTATCTTGGTTCTGTTCAACTCTGTAAACAGTTAACTGTGATTCTCCGCAGTCCCACTAGCTGTCCCCCATTAAATGCATCCCATTTTCAAAACCAGAACCGAGACTCAGAAAATGATTCAACAGAATCAAAACCAGAAACACCAGGATTTGTGACGACATTTGGTTTGCCAGGAAATTAAAAACAGGTCAGAACAGTGAGGAGGACTTGTCCAGTCTTGGGTGCAGAATTGTATCTGCTCCAACCCCCGCCCCTCCCGGCACCCCTTACCCTTCCCTGGATGCACAGGTAAATACCAGAGACGGAGCCTGGTAGTGAATGGAACACACACACACACACACACACACGCGCGTGCGCACACACACACACACGCACACACACGCAGACACACACGCACACACAAAGACAATGGCTAAATCAAGGTAAATACAATCCAATGACAGTTTGAAGATGAATAAAATCGAATTTTCAAACTTTTGACCTTTTGGCCAGCCACATGTTGACATGCACCGTGGAGGCCTTCCAGGCGGTGGCAACATTTTCCCTGCCAGTGCCTTCACCTTCACTGGTTTGAATCTTAACCAGGAACGATAAATACGTTGACATTTCAAAAAGTAAAAGCATGTCCTTTATAAATGGCAAAACCATTTTCAACCAGGTGATGGTAATTCTTAATTATTTTTACGCATTTAAGACAGAGAAAGAGAAAGAGAGACTAATAGCTCTCCTCTCCCATTAGTGGAAAAAGTAGACTCTAGTTTTATAAACAATAAATCACTACAAATGGCCCAGGTGCCCAATCATTCTAGTCTTTTATTGTCCTTTCCCCTGAGTTGTGCTAAGCTTCTTATTCTTTGCTTTGTGTCTATGTGAGGTGTTCGACCAGCCTGTTAGGAACAGTTAGCAGTTCCTGCCTTGGGAAATGCCCTCTAAAATATTTTGGGGACGAGCACCAGGTGTTGTATGTAAACGCTGAATCACGGGAATCTACTCCCAAACCGAAAAGCACACTGTAGGTTAGCCAACTTGACAGTAAATTATATTTAAAATTTTTTTTCAACGTTTATTTATTTTTGGGACAGAGAGAGACAGAGCACGAACGGGGGAGGGGCAGAGAGAGAGGGAGACACAGAATCGGAAGCAGGCTCCAGGCTCTGAGCCATCAGCCCAGAGCCTGACGCGGGGCTCGAACTCACGGACCGCGAGATCGTGACCTGGCTGAAGTCGGACGCTTAACCGACTGCGCCACCCAGGCGCCCCTATATTTTAAAAAATAATAAATAAAATATTAACATTCCTTTCCTTTATAAAATATTTTTAAAGGCAAAATATGAAAATACCACATTAGCTCCTTTAAGAGATAGACAGTCCTAGGAGAAGTGTTTTCCCACTCAATGGATTATATCTCAATTTCTAAGCAGCTGTTTTATCTTGTCCATTCCAATATTTATAAATATTTTCAAAGTGTAAAAATCCCATCTTAACCTTATAAACAGTATATTAGTTACCTGCTGGAAATGAAGCCTCCAAAAGAGTAAAGGATATTTTTTGAGAAAATCAATTCTGAAACATAGGTATCATTTTGAAAGTTAAATGTAGACTCTCATACTATATGCAGGACTGATCCCATAAAAGTGAAATTCTGGTTATAACAAGAATATTTTCCAGGACTCTTCAGTGCCCCACTTAGGGAAAATCTCAGGCAAGGAAGGATAGACAGGCCCTGGAAAGGACCTTGACGTGGATGTCGCTGTGAGGCTGACTGATTCTGGGCTCAGGCCCTGCCCAGTCTGGGGAACTGGGGCAACGTATCTCTCTAAGTTGACTGTTCTCAACTCCATCCACATACTAAAATCTCCCGGGAGTTTCACCAGGTGCTGATATCTCAGCTCAACCTCACACCCATTTAATTAGAATCTCTAAGGGAGGAACCCAGGCATCAAGCTTTTTTAAAGCCTTCCTGGTGACTTTGATCTTCATCCAAGGTTGAGAACAACTGCTCTAAGTGGTTAGTGGTTAGACTTAAGTCCTAAAAAATAAGTAGACAGAATTTCTACAAAATGGTCTCAGAACATAGAAATTCAACTAATCAATGGTGTCTTTATTTTATACACTTTTTTCCCATTTAGACCGAATGTAAAATCTCTCTCTCTCACACACACACACACACACTAGGTAATAAAAAGCAAGAGATTTAAAAAGAATAATAAAGGAGTCATATTTGACATATAAATCTCTTACCAAGAAGGCTATTCAATGCCAGAACATGGTTAAGATCATTTCATATTGACCAACTATTAGAAAATATACGGTAAGACGCTGCCTCAACTTTTCATAGTGGGGAAAACTGACCCACCAGATAAAAGTAAATCCTTTAGAGTAAAACAAAGTGAGACAAATTCCAGCTTCATAACCCCCCAGCTCTCTGACTTTTCATTCAACAGTTGGATCCAATAATTGTGAAAACTCCTTGACTTATTTTCTTTCATTGTGCTCTACATCTCTGCTGTTTTCCCTTCCTCATGGTTACATTTTGTCTCATCACTTGGGCCCTTGTAAGTTCCTTAAGCCCCCAGGCTACGGTGCCTTGCACCTTATCTGCGCTCCTTCGACATTCACGGGTTTGATTTGTACCCGGACATCAATCATTTGGCTCCTACATGGCACAACTTCTCCTGAAGGGCCTGTGCTGTCACCAGCTGAACAGACAGGTCCGCTGGAGAGCAAACCCACGCAGGTGCCTCACTCGTGGTCTGAGAGCAGTGTCGCTTGCCGGTAAACATCGGCGTCTGTGGAGCCACCCACTCCCCTCTGGGCTTCATATTATGAAAGTAGCAAAGGGCATCACCTCCGTCACCTTTAGCTTGCATTCCTAGTTTTCATAAGCATCACGATGGACGTATTCTATGTTCTCCACCGCAGGTAGCTGAGCAGCTTATCAACCCTTTTGGAGAAGATGATGATGATTTCGAAACCAACTGGTGCATTGACAGAAATCTGCAGGTTAGAGGAGCTTTTCCTTCCTTTACAAACATGAATAATGAATCATTTGTGACGTTTCAGATCTGAACAGACTCTGACGGCAGGCCCCTGAACTTCAGAACTGCAGCCACAAAAGAAAGAGGTTTGGCTTTTCAGTATCTTGTCCCCGCTCCTTTTGGAACTTCACAGGTCCTGGGTCTCAGTTGCAGTGAAGTTTAGTCCCTTGTAAATAGAATTTATTTTTATTTTTATTTAAATCCAAGTTAGTTAACATATAGCGTAGTTTTGGAGAACTTAGTGTTTCGTCACTTACATACAACACCCAGTGCTCATCATAATAAGTGCCTTCCTTCATGCCCATCACCCATTTAGCCCCCCCCCACTCACCTCCCCTCCAGCAACCCTCAGTTTGTTCTCCGTATTTAAGAGTCTCTTATGGTTTGCCTCCCTCTCTGTTTTTATCTTATTTTTCCTCCCCTTCCCCTAAGTAGAATTTCAAGCCAGTTTTCTTTGTAAGTTTATTAACTTTACACAGCCTCTTCCATCATACTGCAGAGCAATGTTTTAATTCATTCTTTAATCTGGTTTCTGTGGCCACCCAAGTGAGATTAGCAGGGACAGACAATGGCAGCCAGAAGTGATCTGATGTGAGTTCCCAAATCCATGTCATGAAGTTCCCTGCAGTCAGATGTCCAAGCAGCTGGACACTGGAAACGTGGGCCATACCAGCCTATGTCTCAAATCTGACAGAACTAAACCTAATGGACCCCAGGACCCTTACCCCCAAAGCATTATTCCAGAGAGGTTTTTCTTAAAGAATCAGCATGAGAGAATTTTCCTTCCAGGCAGGACTCTCCTCAGACCATTCTCTGTCCTCACAGATAAGGAAAGAACTTCAACTTGGCTACTTGCTTCAGGCCCTTGCTCAGTTCTTAAGTAGGTTCAAATGTTTCACTATGTTTCACTGTTGGTTCACAAACTGGCCGCATACCTAGAGGGCTGGGAGAGATGGAAGAAAGAAGCCACTCCAGACTGGTAGGTGGCAGGTCTAATAAGCAAGGGAACTGACCTACAAGGCTTGTTTGGGGCGGCCACAAGACAAGTAGATCTCCATGCCCACCTGCCAGAATTGTAAAAGTTTATACCAAGGCCTTAACTGGGTTCAGTCACACTTTCAGTCCAGATGGTCTCAATAATACACTGCTCTCTCAAGGCTGTGTCCTTGAAATGGCTCCACTGTGAGAACAGTGAGCAGAATGTACATTCCCATGACAGGGGAGGGGTGGGGGTAAAGGCCTCCTGTAGCCTGGGTTCAGCTCTGAGGTCAGCAGAGGTTACATCCTCTCCATGACCTCCTCCAACAATCACATTGTCAATCTATCAAGGAGGAAGTATAATGGTTAGGACACTTGCTCTTTGTAAAGATCGGATTTGCAGGTTAATAATTTATTCATGCATTAGTTTGTCAAAGTCAAGGAGACAGACCACTATATAGCCCCAACCAGGGGCACCTGGGTGGCTCAGTCAGTTGGGCGTCTGACTTCAGCTCAGGTCATGATCTCATAGTCCGTGAGTTCGAGTGCTGACA